GACGTTCAGAGTGACAGCATTTGTCTTCCCAGGTAACAGTTACATGTGATGGAGCCTTCATCCTGCTTTCCTGGGGATGCCTGAACACCTGCCTGCCCATGGGAAGTGGTGAATGAATTCCTTGTTCTGCTTTGCTTGCATGCACAATTTCTGCTTTATCTAGTAAACTGTTCTCATGTCAACGACCAAGTTTTTTTCATTTTTTTCTCTTCTGATTCTCTCCCCCATCCCATAAGGGAGGAGAATGAGCAAGTGGCTGTGTGGGGATGAGCTGCTGGCTAGGAGTTTTATTTTCTTTTACAGTATAAGTCAAAGACTAAAATGTGTACTTTAAGATGGAAAAAGATAGTTGCAACCTAGGCAGCCGTACAAAATTCCACATCTTGCAGAGTAGTTTTTAGGTATACCTGAGGGGGTATGTTTGCCATTTTGATTTTATAATAATTAAGTAATCTCAGCTGACAAAAGCTTAATACTATTGAGGTGTTTGCTGTGCTAATGTACACTAAAAGCATTACTCTTTTTTCAGTAATGAGGTGTTACTATAAGGTTAAAAAAATGATAGTCAAATCAGTAATTCCATAATCTCGAGAACTGAGACAAAAAGTTCCTACTTTTACTAAAATAAAAGAAAATATAAATTGAAATCAGCTTATATTCTCACTTTTTTTTTCCTCGACCTCCACAAGAGATGGTGCCAGCTCCAATAACTTTCATGCAGTTGATTATCAGGGTAACAGTAGTATACACAGAAAACAGCACAAGTTAGCAGAGAATTTTTGCAAGCAACAAGTCCTCTTAATCTTGCAGATAAAAATATCTATTACTAAATATACTCAGATAGAGTAGCTTTCTAATGAAATTTTGTTTACAAAGCCACATGCTGTTTTTTCCCAAATAGCTTTCCAAACTAGTTAGACTTTCAACAGAATTTGATATGAAGAGATGTATTAAAAAAGAAAAATCTATGCTTCTACAAAAGTTGGTACAGAACAGGTGCCCAGATAGAGAAATGCTACTCATTGGCAACAACAATAAAGACTGAAGAATGAAGACATCCCCCTTTTTGAACTCATGGAACCCCCACAAAAATTCAGTTTTAAGAAACAGGAACTGGGTTCTGCATCTTAGATAGATACAGTGTATCTATACACTGAGATAATGTGGTTTATATTTATTGACCAGCTTTTAGAGGTGCTTTAGAGGCTTGCTTCTTTCCCTCTGACTGAATAGAATTTGGAGTAAGTTAACACAGATACTCATCACCATTAGCATCTATACCACACAGTTCTTATTCAAATAATATTTATCTAGTATTATTTCAATTATTAAAATTGAAGTTATTTCAAAGTAGTCACAAATCACTTTTCTTCTAGTTATCTCTAGCATTCTTACAATTTTGCTTCAGACATCAAGAGCAGTTGAAAGGACTAAACAAATATATAAAATATATTAAACAGGACTAAACAAATATATTAAATATATTAAACTGATAGGTCAAATATATTAAACTGATTAACAGAACAGATAAATTTAATAAAAATGCAATGGAATACTGCAGTACTGAAATGAATTTGGAGCTTTTTTCCCTAAAAAGTTACAAAAATCCCCCCAATGTTCAAGTAGCATCACTTAGTTTATTAAATGAGGCGATTCATAGAGGAATGACACAATTAGAATTATCTTTAAAACACTCTCTACAGCACTCTAAAGTGACTCCTTGGGACTAAAACAGATTTTTTTGTTGTTGTTTTTTAAGATAAAAAAGAAACCACTTCTTATGCAGCTGAATGATAACCAAAAACCTGCAATCTAATCCTATTTTTACCTGTTTAGAATCCTACATGATGCATAGCAAGTCCATTTTACCTTTTCCCAGTCAGTTGTTCAGACAGTGAGGAAATGCCCCAAGAACACTCGATCTGAGTGTTTACAAGTTGTCTTGGAACAGCTTACACAGCACATTCGATTCATTAAAAAGCATCAAGCACCTTTCTCCCAAATGAAATTCATTGCCCTAACACATGAGCACAGGTTCCTTTACAACATATTGGCAAAATCTGGGCAGTTCCAAACCAATACACAGCCTGTAGAAATTTTCAGTGCACAGAGACATGGTTCAAATCTTCCCTTCCCATGGGCTCCACAACCAAACTCCCAGCTACAGTGGAACCTGCAGTGTGTGACACACTACCACAATCTCTTCCTAGGTGTTCAAGTTTCTACCCACAAAATCAGAAAAGCTATAATCTTTCTTTAAGAACAAGGCAAGCAGCAAAAAGATGCCCAAAATACATTTGTAGCTCAGTGTTTAGGACACTTATCCTGGATCCTGCATTTTAGGTTCTCCTCTGAAGCTCTCCAACTTCCGTGATAGTGACAAGAGGCTCCTTGTCACCATTTTATTCTTTTTGCCTCTTCAATCACAACTTCTTAGACATCTGCAGTCTTCAGTCATGAACCCATTTTTGTTTAATTTACATTATATGAGCCACTACAGCAGAGTTTTAAATTTTCCCTTCCTGCTCAGCTCAGGCCAAAGCACTTCTAGTAAAAAAGGCAATTGTGTAACTCAGCTGCTATATAGTACTTTACTACAAAATATATTCACATTTTTCAGAAGTTATAAATACATAAAGCAAGTAATGCCTAATTTTCATGTTAGCAGCAAAAAGAGACTTCTACTATATAAAGGTCAATTCCACATATGTTTAGCTCCTTCTTTAATATTTCCAAATATAAGACTGGCAAGCAAGCCATTCTTCCACAGCCTCATGGTGGCCTAAGTTTTCCCAAGAAAGCCTGAGTAAACACCTGGGCCCTGAAGAAAAGGGATACTATAATGGAATGTCAAGCAACAAACTACCAGTCCTCTTTCTAAGGGACATAGCCTCATCACTAATCATTTCTAAATAGCATCTCTGCCACAGAAACGAACAATGCTTAGGCAGCAGTAATCAGAGCATAATGAAGCTATTTATTCTGTAGCTTCAACATCATCATGAAAATTAAATCATACCAAAGGTTAGGTAGATTTGCTCAGGGTTTTTTGTTTTCGGTTTTTTTTATTATACCCTTACATATTTGTTATCAATTTTGTTGGCAGAGTGGCCAGAAAAGACTGAACACATACTATGGAAGGGAAACACAGGCTTTCAGCTGAGTTTGTTTTTAGAATGACAGTTACCTACATTAACATTTTCAGACCAACCTCTTCTTACTGCAGTGTAATATTCCACATGCACAAATGGACAGATTTTGAGGTCTTAGCAAGAAAAATGGTTCCAAACCACAACTCATACAGCTACTGCTTGGCAAAACAGAAAGCTTTAATGATGCCTACAGATCAGATTATCCAAATTTCTAAAGAACAAAGATGAACGATAAAGCAGAAACTACAGTGGCCTTGAGGGGCATGTGGGTGCCACACACACACACACAAACACTATTGCATCTATGAAGAAAGATCTAAATATTTATGGTAATATGACAAAAATCTAGGTTCTCAAGGGATTTAAAAAAGAGGAAATAAGGAAAGTCACCCTAAAAAACTGCCCTACTCCTCCAAGATACTTAATACAATAAATTAAATATACAGCATAAGCTGAAAAAATAGCTGACACCATTGACTAAACACAATCAGTTTGAAAGTCCCTCTAAGTGTGCCCTGTAGATTTCACAGGCATGACCTGGGAAGCATAGTATCTTCAGTCAAATTCATTTAAGAAAAACAAAAAATAAAACCCAAAATAAAACAAAAAAACACAAACCCACCAACTTACAAGTTTTGTCAACGTGAGTAAAAGTCCATGCATTTACAAAACCCCACACTTTTATTATTTTGGCCCTGAATTTTGATTTAGAGGTACAACAGCATCACAGCACACACACATTTCTGCATTACCAGATAAAGACACAATGATTCACCTACACGTTTCTCAAGTCTAAAGATTAGAATTTTTAGAAGATTATCCAAGAGCAACTGGCAATCAATATTCATCCAAAATGGAAGGGATCTTAAAATCCAAATCAAATATTAAGGAGACTAAGAGTCTAAAGATTTACATTTGCTATTCAATTTCCTGTTTCTATAAATATAGCTCCTTTGTATAATAAACATTTGGTCATAAGATTCTTTGATTCCAATTTTTATGTAATGATTTTTAATAATGTAAAACTAAGTTTACCCACATCTACACAAAATCCTATTAAGCTATTTGTACAGGATGTGTGCTAGTGAGCAGTTTTGCATGTATCCTTAGAGGCTAAGAAAAGTGCCAAAGCACATTTGCATTATTGTGTCTGTTATCACCCTCTGTTGAATTTAAATGACAAATTTCCTACAGGCAACTGTTAATGCAGCAGTAATAAAAATCTAAAACAGTAATCATCACAGATTTGAAATTACTTTTAATAATATGCAAAGTCAAGTCATTAAAAGAATATACCAACATTAGAAATCGGCAGTTACGTTCTTTGTAACTTCACAGCAAGATTTCCCAGGTGAGTAACAAGGTATTTTGCCAGCACAGTGGGCTTGACCACTGGTACCAGCAAAATGTGTCAAGAAGAGATGTCAGTTCTTTGATGAGAGAAAGATGTAACAGGTGGAAACATAAGGAATTCGATGCACGTGTTTAGCCACACAGTTACTAAAATGTTTACTGCTGGTTTTCTTCCCCCTGTAGTCACAAACGGTATACAAGAAAAGCTCTAACAGAAAATTAAGGCAAAAGGGAGTTGCATGGAACAGCCTTCCCAATGGATATGTTTCAGTATCTCAAAACTGAATACAAACAGAAACAGAAAAGTGCATATAAAAATGCACCTGAAGAAGTTTCCTCATTGGATGCCAGTACCTATGGTTTATCATGTGTTATTTATTATTCAGTGCCTCAGAAGAAGATTTTCTTCACACTTTTCAGCAAAAAGTAAATTTACCAGAAAGTGCTACTTTTAAGCAGATGTGCCACATAATTAGCAACGACAAATCCACTTACTTTTTTCTCCTTCTCATGATGTTTATCCTGAGAGTGAGAGGAAGAATCACTTAAACTTTGATCATATGACCTATTAGATCCCCGTTTGCTCTTTTTCTAAAAAGAGAAAATATATTTATGGACAGAGAAAAGGAATCATTTGAATAAATAAAAAGTATAAAGCATTTCCACTGACAAGATGCTTTATTGCTTGAGGAAAAGAACTTCAGTGCTTCAGTTACTGGAAAGCTGACACTAAAATTCACAAGACTACTGAATGTACACCAGAAAAAAAGCCTCTCCTTGTACCAACCTCTACACCTCCCACAAATTTGCAAGATATGCTTTCCACAGAGAAATGAAATACACCACTTTTTAAAGATTAAAAGATGCTAGACACATTTTCAAGTTTTAGTAACATAAAACAAAAGACACTGCTCAAATGACTATCACGTGAAGCCACAGTGATGCCCTGACACATGCTTGAAATGCATTGTAAGGTGACTTCATGACTTATTTATTATTCAAGCAATCTGTCTGGTATATTTTCATTAAAATGGATTAAAAACCAGGATACAGAATGCTACAGTCATGTCTGTGATTATAAGTGGCAGTTGTAATTGCCTGCATTTCTGTAATGTCTGAGAGCCTAGTTCAGGACCGCAAATACTTTATGCTGGGCCAGTGTTCTAAATGTTGGTTTTTTCACAACTGAGAAAGTATTTAAAGACACTTCAGGCAACAAGTTTTCAGTAGAATAGCAGATGTAGAACACCCGCCATCTTCAGCAGGAAATACGAAGCACCTGTATTTACCAGGCATTAACAGTCACAATAATCCTAAAGAAAAAACTGAAACACTTAAAACAATCTTGCCAGTCTTTACTATTCTTACCACTATAGCTTCATAAGGGAAAGCTAACTAATTACATGTCCAATACAGAGTTCTGTCTTTATCATTGAACTTGGTTTTTAAATAAACATACCTGCTCTCAATCATAGCAGCACTGCAACATTGAAATCAAAGGCCTAACAGTGTAAGGGTTTGCCTTCACTACTAACTAAGAGATAATTTTCGCTCTTTTTGTATGTACTTAGCTCAAGACAGTTAAAAAAAAATCCTAGCTCGGTAAGGGCCTGGAAAGCCCTGACTTATCTTCATTATGAAGCAAATTTCATCAGTATTCACAAAAGTACAAAACTAACCTCATCAAACTTATCTTCTAGAAACTAAAATGGTTGACTGGTCCTGTGTTTTTACTTCGCTGCAACCTAAGTCACACCAAGTATTCAACTTTTTTAGCACTGAAAATAAGTAATCTGCAAGTTAAACTATACTTACAACGGTATCTGAACATAAGTCTGTATATTTTAGTATTAATAAATAACATTTTTTAAACATCAGTAAGCCCCTCAAGTCCATACACTCACACATGTACACAGAAACAGATATCTGGAACTGTCAAACTGGTAAGAAATGAAAGGAAAGACTCCAGAGGTCTGATCCAAAATCTACTGCATTAACTGAGAAATTTCAATGTTTCTAATTTCTTGTTTACTTTTTAAAAATCAAACCTCAAGTTACTTCCTTAAGGTTGTGTTTCAGAGAACTTACAAGGTGGGAATGCTCACTGGCTACACAGTGAGAGATAGAACAAAAGAGGTTGGGCAGAAGAGTAACAGAAGCAGAAAGAAACTGAGTGCTTCTTTATTCTCTAGAAGTAGTATTTTCTAGTTTATTCCAAAATTGACTGAATTCCTAGAAGGTACTTAAACAAATAGCAAAAGAAAACATTCCAGGAACTCAATGAAAAAAAACCACTAAATGTGCATGCTATTTCTGGCAGAGGGGGAAAACCCACACATCTATAAAGTAACCACTTATAAAAACATTTCCAGCTAGTACTTCTGTAACTGTGATTAAAACATTGTTTTAATGAAATGCAATCTACTTTTTGAACTACATGAAAATATTATTTCTAGTTCTAATGGTAATTCAGAATAAAAAAATAAGTCAGTCACATTTATTTATAGAATTTAATAAATACATACCAGTTTATTAAAATGGTATTTACAGTAGCCACAGTATTGGACGTTATCTGCACCATTGCCTTCCTCTTCACAAAGAAGTCCTGCAAACTGTGCACTAAAAATAAACCAAACAACATTCAAGGAAAACCATTTTACACCAGTTTGTACCACAATATCACACCTGATAACATATGAATGCTTATATCTGCAATTAATAGGAGATTTCCACACAAATAACTTCCAGTGGTATTTGAGCACATAACCAACCTTTGTAGCCCAGGAAAAAACATTTATAATGAATCTTTAATCCACTCACACAAGATTACATCTTGCAAATCTACATTTACTATGCAGCTACTTGCAGAAATAAATAAACAAAGCAATCTAGAATTACTTTTTGCTCAAATTCAAGCAAAAAAAAAATCTATCTAAGGAAAGAACAGCTTTTAACAAAACCATACTACGGCTCCAAAGAAGAGTGTTTTCAGAACTTGAATATATGCTTCTCTGATTTACCATGAAAATTACCGGGTTTTTTTAATCTAACTTGAATTGCATAGTAAATCAAACTGCATTTACTAGTTTAAAATATTGTGGCAGGCTAATTTCTTTTGAAAAGACCAACAGTTACAGTTTGCATTGACTGGACTAATTATTACCTTATTTTACTACAATTTTTTCAAAACAATTTTCTTTTTCACCGTTTATAATGTTGATATATTTTCTTTATCAAAGCCAACTTAGATATTGACAACCAAATATTGTTACATCTTCCATATAGTTTTCATTCCCATATGTTGGGGTTTAGGATTCTTCCTTTTGTTTCTTCCTCTTAGGGAATTTTCTCCCATATGTTGCTAGGAGACAACAACTACTGGGTACTTAAGGGAGACAAAAGAAGTTGCCAAACTCAGGGGAGGAGGGCAACTGGCTGCACTTCTCTTATCAGAGGGTTTCTCTGGGAGGGGCAGAGATACCCGAGAATGGGGCTGGGAGAAAGGGGGCTGGGGCAGCTGCTAGTTCTGGGCACTGGGAGGGGTCAGAGGCTGGGCTGCTGCGGGGGGAATTGGCCACCACTGCGGGGTTCAGTCTCCTGCTGCCTTTCTTCTACCGTGAGCGCTCTGCTCCTAAGAGCGGCCGCTGCACTGGGCCCTGATTAACACCAAACAGGGCTCGCCATTAACTTTGCCATCTGCTCAGGTGCCTCAGAGGAAACCTCAGGATCCCCGAGCCCCATCCCGCTCCCAAGGGAGTGTCTCTGCCCTGTTCGGGAGGCAGACTGCAACTGTCCGGCCGCCTGCCCATTTTCGCTACACTGTAGCCCCAAGGCCGGGACATCCCCGCGGCTCCAGCTACAACTGATGAGTTTCGGATACACCTCACCTACCGCCCCGGTATTGTGCTCGTCCCCGCCGTTCCAGCCTGCGGCTCCCGGCGGTCCTGCTGGGGCACCAGCATTGACTGCCCCAGGGGGTTCGTGCAGCAAAGCCTTTCTATAGGGTCCTGCCCCACGGGTTCATGAAGCAAAGCCTTTCTATAGGGTACTGCCCCACGGGTTCATGAAGCAAAGCCTTTCTATAGGGTCCATCCCTTCCCGTCTCGGCCCAGCCTCCATCACCGCGTGCTCCCCGAGCCCGCGCCACAGCGCCCCCTGCAGCCGCGGGGAATCACCGCACCTGCCCCGCCGGCCGGGAGCCAGCAGCGCCCCTGGCGGCTGTGCCCGGAAGTGCACCAACGGGAAAAGGCTTACAGAGAAGAACTGCTCCCTGGGGTTTGCAGTTCGTGTTTTTCCTTTTTGTTTGCTGTGCTGCCATTGTTATTGTCTGTTTGCCTTGTTATGCACATACATGCCAGTAAAGATTGTTATTCCTTTTCCAGTATCTTTGCCTAAAAGACCCTTAGTTCCAAAGCTACAATAATTCAGAGGAAGGGGGGTCATACTCCCCATTCTAAGGGAGACTCCCACCTTCCTTGTCAGACACCTGTCTTTCAATCCAGGCCACCATAATAATGCAATGTTACAGTCAAAATTACACACAGGAGTATTTAAATGAAAGAAGACTATATAATGTGGCTCATTTTCACACATTTTAAAAAGTATATTTTTGGAAAACCCAGAAATACTAAAATACATGCACATGTACAGCTGATACCAACTAGAAAAAATAATTAAGAGGATGTCTTTAAGCAAAGATCTATTGTTTCTAAACTTCTTTTAGCAAAAAAAAGGCACTCAAGCTCATTTTTCATTAGACAATAGCTCTGATAATACCAATTTGATATACTTTGCCCTGGATTTCTAGTAGTCTTCACATTTTTCTTCCATTTTTAAAAAATATTACAGAAACCTCTAATTATCTCCAGTCCTACTACTCTCCAGCTAGACATCATTTTGTAGTATAGACCATGTGTTTGAACTGAAACATTCTAAAATGTGGCAAGATAGCTGTTTTAATTTTGAACTTAAATCTCATGCTCTTCACAGTATTCACTGAAAACAGGGTTTTGGAATAAAGTAAAAAGATGAAAAGGACTCTTGTATGTATCCAAGTGTTTGAAAGGAAAGAGACTTTTTCATACAAGCCCTTGGATGTATACATTTTTTCACATCTGTAAGTAATCCCTTTACATGGTATGCACGCTTTGAGGAACACAATCCATTTTCACCATAAAAAGAAACTTGACATTGATCACATCCAATGAAGAATTAGATGCTTGTAAAAGAATAAAACCTGTGAAGTAGTCAAGCAATTAAAAGAAAAAAATAAATTAAGAGTTGCCAAGATTATCAGCACCAAAACAATGGAATTAAACCCTTCAAGATCTCCACAAGACATACAAATTGTCACTTGGGTACACTGAAGAAAATATATTTAAGTGATTTAAGCTGATGTGCACATACCATTTCCCTGACTAAACTAGTCATGAAGCAGCATACTGAGGCAGTCATAAAATAGACAGGTAAATCCATAGATTATGTAGCTAGACAGCCTATATAGATCTGTCCACTACGGTAAAATAACTCCAGCTGAAATTGAAAAAACAAATAATGCCTGCAAATTTTGGAGTGGAACTCTTTGCTTCCTTTTACCTGTTAACATGTGGTTTAATCTAATTATCCAGCCTCTTTTAGAAATCCATAAAGTGAAACAAGCATCTCCTGAATGCAAGGAAAACTAAGTATCTTAAAGTGGAATGAATCAGATGGTGGAGAACACAGCTTTTTTTTCCTCCAGCAGTAACACATGAAATCAGAATAGTTCAGGATGATCTGCACCACTTAGATAAAACCAGTGAAGTGAGTTACTCCCAAATGTTTGGAAATCCGAACTGGCATGGGTGAGTCTGGTGCATTTTTATGTATGGCTCAGTAATTTTCCCACTGATTTACCAAAAGTAAACACCAAAATCAGTTAGAAGGCAATGCTAACAAACGGTGTCTTCACACTCCCATATCCCATTAAACATCCTCTAAGAAAAATAGCCTAAGACCAAGAAAAAAAACCAAAGTCCCTTATACTCATTCACAGGAGCACACATCATTTAATACCACCCAAGGGAGTACTATCAGACAGTTCTGGCACGTCACAGCAAAATCTATGCTGCCACTGCCATATTGTTAGTAAATAACTAATATTAAAATAAACCACTTTACTGTACTTCTTTACTCAAGGACGTACTAAATAAGGAGTTTATTCATTACACTCTGTGTATTGGTTCTTTCTGGAACATCAGAGATATTAAATAAAAAAACATACTTACCATGTTACGTGAAAAGCTTGTCGACATCCATGTTTATTACATGTCATACAAGCACCAGTGGCTGCTTTACTTTCTCTGCCTTGTTCATCACAAATATAGCATGTCTATCAAAGAGAAAATACTTAATTTGATAAGAAACATACCAATAAATTCTGTGTTACAGGAGATTCTAGGTTGAGAACAATTGCATTTTGCAGTTAAGCCGGTGTAAGAACTTCTTTATGAAAGCCTAATCATGCTTGTTAGTAGAAGGAGATCACCTGGTAGACTCGGGATTTGTGTAACATTTCAGCAATGTTTAGGCAGTACAAATACTAATTTGCTTACATTTCATACCACTGTCAGCCAGCCAAAGGGTTAACTAGCCAAGGGCTAATAGCATTAGGCTTCCCAACTGTCCTTGCTTTCAAGTTTGTGTCTATGTCCTTTTAAGTCTCAATAATTTTCGTACTTATTTAACATAACCTGTATTCGTGGCATTCAGAAATATCAGATGAGACTAAGTGCCTAATGGTACAATATGCCCTAAGGTATACATCTATACAAAAACATACAAAAACCTGCAAACTTGAAATCTTATTTGTACATTTGGTGCAAAGAATTTTCAGAAGTGTCATAGCATGTTTCAATATTCATATGATGCTGAGCAACTTTTAATTAAATTAGTGTTTAACAGGACTCTGCTTTATTTGGATGACTACTTCAGCATGACTTGGACAGCCCCATAAACATTTTGTAAATTAATCAAGAACCTTCTGTAAAAAAGCTTAAATGAGTGTACCAAACCCATTTCAACCTCCAAAACAAGCTAAAATGAAAATAACCTATTTAGTACCTGGAAATCTTTTCATAGCATTTTTCTCAATTTATTTCTATTTCTGAGATGCCATGGAAATTTTTAATCTTTTCGAAAATGTTCTTAGTAAAACAGAAAAAAAGATATTAAGACAAAAAAATCCAAATTCTTCCTCATTATTCAATACTTTCTCTCTTTTTTTAACATGTGGCCAATAAATATGGATACATACTGTACGGAAGCTCCCTACTATAGTAGGTGTCACTACAAACTCTCACCAGCATTCCAAGGAGAAACATCAGGCAAAATTAAATCTCCCTACACTTTTTGCTGTCCTAATTACTGAAACAGCATTTAGAGAGATTCTATATCATATCACATTCATGTGTAAAATTTAACAATTTAAGAAGAGAGTCTTTATGAAAGTATCACCCAGCACTGAGGTGGTTTAAGTGTTTATTTTCATATGAGAAAACCTTACTGAGTATTAAACATTAAGGACACTCCTACCTCTATGGAAACCCCATTATCAGATCCTTAATGAGAAAAGAGAAACTTCCTTATGCCAAAAAATAAAATTGTCTCTATTTTAATTGACTTAGAATTTTATTCACAACCTCCTTTCAGTGAGGCAGAGAATGAGTAGAATAATAAAAATAACATCAACCATGGCTAGCAGAAAACACAGTGGAAAAACATGGACCAAAAGACCATTGAAATTAAAAATAATTATATAATGCAAAACCAGTATTACTTAGGAAAATGAGTGAAATTCACAGATCAGAGCAGCTTGTTACAGAGGTTTTTAGAACAACATTTAACAGGAGGTGTCAGCTAACTAAAGCATTTTTGTTAATATGCAAGACTTTGAGAGTTATTCTTGTACAGTTTCCACACTACTTTAAAAAGCTAATAGATCCTAAAATCATACCCTATAACCTAACATTAAAAAGATCAGAACGAGGATAATCCTACTTAATTCTTTGCCTTGCTTCTTTTGTACATCAAGGTGGTGAATACTGATAATTCCATTGTTTGACAGGGTCTGAGACTGGCTGCTTTTTACCCTTCCATACCATGACCTGACATATTTAGATTTTAGGAACAAACAAGGTCATGATCTATCAACTTCATCTGAGTCAATATATTAAGTAAGTAACTTCAAAGTAAGATACCTCTATAAACAGAGAGTTCCACAAACCCCATAAAACTCAATCTCCAGTTACTTTCTGTTTTTTTCAGAGTTTTGTTTCATGTTAAATTTTTTCCTCACTGAAGCTCAGAAAGAAAAGCAATACAAGCATTCCACATACTAGAGATGTAGACTCCATTTTTCAGTATTTACCCTACATGTAGGGTCTCTGTTTTGGGACCTCTTTGAGCAATTTACAGTAAAATGACTGAAAAATGACTACAAACTACATTATGAACAAGTTTAAATGCAACATGGTGGACTGACTACTCATTTTAAGAAGCTCAAAGAACTTTCCTACAATAGTCATGAGAAGCATTAAACCTGTTTCCTAGTATTCCATATGAAACAGGGACAAAGAAGGTTCACTCTCCTGTTCCAACAGACAGTAAGTTCTCTACAGCTGAGCTTCTCATATTTGTACCTTCTCTTAGCCACAGAAACAATTCCAGAAGCCTGAGAACCCGTGTCTTTCTTTCACAAAGGAAGACTTGCATGTATTTGCAAATCCGTACGAACACTACACCTCTGAAGCCTCTGAAATGTGGAAGTTTAAAACTCTGTCCCACCACCTACAGCTGCGCCCTTCTTCAAAGCTCTTAAGGGAAGAGAATACTCTCCCAAATTCACTGGAAAAGAAGCAAAAGCTTTTGACTCAGCAAGGAAATGTTACTCAAAAACACAACAAATACCTTACTTCCTTTAAAGGCAAAATATGTATTTTGCACAGCTGTCTTTATGTTACTGTCAGTATTCTCCCTTCAAAAATTCAAAGTGCAAACTTTCTTTGCAAAAGCAAAGACAGAAGGGAAGATGATGCAAAAAAATTTATAAGGCAAATAGTAATTTCAGAAATAGTTTACTCATATCAACTACCCAGTGGCATTCCCTGATCACAAAATCAAACCTAGGAATTGTACAGAATTCTCATTGTTGCAGCACGTACTGAAAGAGAAGTTTGGCAGCTGCATTCACTACTAGGCAAATCAAGAAATTCCAAACACACTTATCTTTTAATCAGTTCTTAAAAGAGATTCCTAAAAGCAGTAATTATATACAATTATCACATAGTTTCAAATGAACCTGAAAGAGACAAATAAAGCTGACATAAAATAAAAATATTATCCATGCATAACCATACAAAGAATAAGAAACACCTATTTCTGTAAAGAAGAGCAACTAATAGTCCACGTTTTTTTGGAAGCCACTGTGTAAGAAGAGCTTTCCTGATAGCTAACTTACTAATCAAATCATTCAGTGGATATGTAATGTGATAGTTTTTATCCCAGAAGCAGGCAAACTTTAGGGAAATAGCAGCCAAATGTCTCTATATGGATAAGCCCCATGCTTTCGTATCTACAGCATTTCTTCTTGCATTTAAGATTACTGTACTTGGTAATATTGGATATTTCACAGTGTTTAGTAAAGAAACAAGTGCATAGGGAAAAAACCCCAAACATTAAATTAAGTACTATGTCCTGGCAAAACTTCAACAATATTTACTTTAAAGACTACAGTATAATTTCTCCCTCATGGTAATTTTCCTTGGCTCCGTTTTCCCCCAGTTCCATATGCTAGTGTTCTATATGTATCCAGCCATGCACAGAGAATTATTTAGAACTTCGCAGGAAATAATATCTTACTTAAAATCTCCTATTCCAACCTGAGCTGACAAACAGAATGAAATTATCACTAAGCCTCTCTAAAAAAAAAGAAACTACTCCAGTCATTTTTTCCTAATTACATTTGCATTTGTTCTCAATGTGCAACAAATGTTTCAATAACTGTTTGTCATATCTACTTCTCAAAAAAACAGCTTTCTTTCCCATTTTTAGGCAAAGCAATAAAGTCAGAGTAAAATGCTTTACAAAATATCTGATCTAAAAAAATATTTAAATAGCCACAAATTATCTTGAATAGCAATAGGAGTAGAAGGTGAAACTATTGCAGGCTACATGAAAAGGGAACTAATAATTGTATTGGTTTTGGGAGGTATTGCTCAAGAATAGCCTACCCGAGGACCCACGGCAGTTTAACCACAGCAATACTGAACTCAGCACCAGACCTAGCAAGAGTTGAGTTCCCTGTCAGACAATACTTCTTAAATTCAGTACTGTTACAACTGGACTGCTGCTGGCACTGCAGTTAGACTGGTTTCAGAAGGTTTGCTGCAGCAACTGCAGTACAGCCATTTATTGGATTCCCCTGAAACCCACAGCCTCTATCTCCCTGACCCAAAAAGACCAAATAATGACAGTGAAATCTGAGTTCTGTAAAAAGAGAGAACAAAAATAATAATAACTTGCAGGCTAGGAGTGTGACCCCAAACTTTGATATTTCTGACACCGGTCTCATTGTACTTCAATAAACTAGTGGCCTGATAAAAGCAGTTTTAGGCTGACTGCTAACATGGAAAATAAGCCTCAATCAGAACACCTGCCCATAGCACAGAGAACTAAGAGCTGGACAACATCAGAACTCTCTCTACATTAACTGTATGGTGCTAGTAACTATCTAGTGAGAAAAAAAAATCACAGTAACTACAGACCAACAAAAATTAAAACTGGAATTTTAACAGCAAAACACAACTGTATTGTCATATATTTAGAAAAAAAACTGTTTGAGAAAGAAGCAACTTTAGTTATGAAGAAAAGGAATTAAAGACTAAAGACAGAGACAGACAATGGATTTTCTCAACAAGTAATAATAAAAGACGCAGAGTACATTTTTTGAAGTTACAAGGATTTACTCATCCAATATCCAATTACCATCAATGGAAATGGTGTGAGATAAAACAATTCATGAAATTTTTGAAGTACATTAAGAGACAACTACTACCAATTAAAATAAAATTATGACTGACTACTACCAAGGAAAAAGAAAACTGATATTCTGTTTCCTCAGAGTTGGGAGAGAAAAAAATGAATTAATTTATTATAGCAAATCTCTGCTGCTTTGTGTCCAAGCAGAAACATTTTATCAGTTCTGTACTGAATCTCACTGTGGCACGTTCTTGACAATGCAGAGGGAAGTAAATAGTGAGATGGCAATAAAGATGTTCGGGTAATAATGAGAAAGCTTGAGAAAAACCTAGACTTTGATTCCTGGCTTTTCAGCTACACTGGTAAATAAAATGGACAAAATCTATTGACAGCAACTGGAGAAAGTGAAACAGAAAAGGAAAAGACCAAAGAAAGGAAAAAGGCTAGAAAAATGGAGGGGGAGCCCATAAATCAAAGATGGAAACTGGGAAAGGGATGTGGGGAGTGTGAGAATTCACAGAGACAACATGAACAGGGACTGGTCTCCCTGTAGGGAGAACATAACATGTGATGCATGCCTTTTTCTTCTCTTTTTTATAACACAGTCTATTCCTACTTTACTCCAGTGTCCACAAACTACCATAAAATAAAGTAAAAAAAATAGAGATGAAAAGAACAACACATGAAAAATATGTAACATGACTCATCAGAAATTCAGTTTGCATCTGCAGAAGAGAACATATAAAGACCAATGTAGTTAAACAAGGAGAAAGTAACACAAGTGAAATAAGGAAAATGTAACTATCAATAAAGAACACTAACAAGCTACTGGTTTATTGCTCTGCTTTAAGGTTTTTTTTTCTTTAGTCTCACCACACTTTATAAAACATTCCATCTCACTGACAATTATTTAGGAGCAGTTCTCCTGTAAGTAAATAATCCCACAAAAGTGAATGTTGCTTACAAAGGCAAAAGTCTGCAAGCACTTGCCTTAATATATTAGCATACCTTTCTGTCCTAAAATAAATGTTTATAAACATGTATATGTTAATATCAACACTTAAACTAGGACTTTGTGGTAATTAATAGTAACATCTCATATCAGCTGCAACAGTATTTTAACCTATGGAAAATATTTCAGATTCTTTTAAAAATAAACTGCTATTCTAAGATCATGATATTTTTAATTAACAAAACAGTCCCTAATCTGTAAAAGACTAGTAAGACATGGCAGACAACCTTACAACTTAATTTAATAATACAGCTTTCTTAATTCTTCAATTTACCATAAAGACATTGCAGAAAACTTACAGCATTACTGCACACATTTAGGAATTTTATATGAAGTGCATTCTAAGAAGTATAGTTTTATATTATTAAAGCTCACATGTTTTAAAATAAATACATTAGATATAAAAAGACATATAATTATACCTTATTATAACGATCATGAGGAACAGACTGCAACACGATAGGCTCCATTGTAGAAACATTTGCAAACTGCACCTCGGGAATGTACAGAGCACAAACCACATGAGCCCAACCTACAAAAAGTTATAATTGAATTTAATGTTTTCTAGAAGCTTAAAGGACATTTCAGTGTAGTGCAATTATAGTGCAAAGAACCTTTTACAACGCTTTTCTTTTTTCCACAGACATTTTAAACATTTTAACTGTTTAGAATATTAATGACATAAATTACACTTAAGTCATGTTTACATTTCATTTTTGTTATCCAAAGTTTAGATGATCAGAAATACATTTTTAAATGTAGTCAGGGAGAATTTATATGAGTAATACTCCATGAAATTCAAATACTAATGATTTATACAAACAGTAACACACAAACAGAAAAATTATTACTTTTTGATTTCTTGGATTAACACAGTCATTACATAAAAACTACACAAAGTCCTGAAAAAAGGAAGCAGCATCTGACCAAACTGGTATTTTTAAAGCATAGCATCATAGAAGACCTCTGTGTATAATTTTTATTTTAAAAATGTCATTCTGATTTGAATAGACTCCTGCTTCTTTCTGGAGAAAGAAATGGCAACACATACAGACACCCTCACATCCTCTCTATGAAATCTCTTGCTTTTTCATTTATAAAGTTGTGGCCAACTCATTTTTTCATAGGAATACAAATACAAATCCACTCCTATTCTAATTCATTAACTTGGGGTCATCAATAAATGGTTAGTTACTTACCATACTGTGCTTTAACAACATTTTGAGCAAGCCAACATTCTTAATTGTCTTAACATTTAGTCGGATGGAGATGGGGGAAAACACGAAGTCAGAGACAAACCTACTAATTTGAAGCCTTTTTTCAACACAGAGATTCTGAGAGCTGTTGGTTTGTTTCAGTGGAGGACCATATGCTATAACTGTAAATTTAGCAGAAGCTGCTACTTAGCTAACTCAACATATTGCTATACTGACATTAATAATAGAATTATTAAAAGTATTATCACCTCATCTAAAAGTGAATTTGGAGCAGCTAATCACTTGGTGTGAATTCTGTTCTTCTCCAAGAGAAAAACTGAAGTCTCTTGTCACAAGACCCTCAGTATCCTTTAAAAATAATTCTGTTTTTCTCCTACCCAGGCTTACTTGTATGCAAACATTAAGGACATAAAATGTCAGATTTACATAATTAGGTAATCTAGCAGATTATTGGATTAGGCAAGCAAAGTAAACAATCAATGTGCAAACGCATGCTATAATAAAAACAACAACAATAATAACCATCATCATCATCATCCCAGAAAAAAAAAATTAAACACAAAACACACTATATACTGTCCCTCTGCAGACCTTTATGAGCTTTTATCTTGGATTTTGTTTTCAACTACTCTACAGAATCTAAAAGTTCTTAATTTCTTCACCAAACTGTACTCTGACTCAAACTGAGCTAAACACTAAGGTGTGCTTGCTCACAGTAGTATTATTGAGACTCTAAAATGGTATTTACAATAAAAAGTGCATATGCAATTCCAGAGACTTTTCTTAAAAAACAAATCTTTTCCAGTTTTTGCCAACGGATCTGGCGTCCCCACTCTCCATTTACTAAATTGGTAGTTACAATTTACTACAGAAAACAAAAAGTGCACACATACACAACAGTTCTAGTCAACATCCACAGTCAACACCACACATATTGTTCTAGTATTTCAACTGCAACTAAAGACAGTATCTCTGCTGCTCCATAATTTTATTCACAAATCTTTAGAATTATTTAGAATTCTAAATATTCACAAATATTTAGAATTATTTAGAATTATTCTAAATTATTAATTTAGAATTATATAGAAAAGGTATGAGCCTAATAAAAGTGTAGGGTAAAAAACCGTATAAATTGCCAACTTGAGCTGCTTTTAAAATCCTTCCAACAGACCATTTTAAAATTATCATTAACAGATAGACAGAAAAAATAAAAACCACAACCTTTTGTGTTCACTTGTCTACTTGAAATATCTTCAGGGAAATAATGTTTATAAGGGCTTTTCTAAGAATTGCAAACTGCTTTAAGCCAGAATCATCTTACTAAAGACAAATAAATGTTAGCATGGTGCTAATGGTGAATATTTATCTTTAAATCTTCTCTTAAAAAATTAACTCAAATAGAAACACCATTCCTCTAATAAAGCTATTAAACCAATAAAAAAGTGACACTGAATTTTTGAAAAAAATGAACCTTCTTCAGTTGGCTACACATAATCAGATGGCAAAAGCTTTTACTTCAGATGTAATTAAGCCTGTACTCCAGTTACACTTACACATAATGGAAAATTATTATGTAAGTATATAAGATATACCAGAGACATTAGGGGGAAAAAAATCACTAAATGAACTGAAATTTAGGTAGGTAAAGAATTTTTATTATAAGGAACCAGTTTCAGGAGTAACTTTGAATAGTACACCACCACAAAAAACCAAACCAAACAAACAAAAAAACAAACACACAACACTTTTTCTAATTACAAAAAGAAAGTACACATCCAAGACAGCTGTGGCCAGTAGCAGGCTTTTAACTTTCATGAGACCAAAACCAGTGTCTATATAATGAAACAAATGAAGCACCAGAGCACTAAAACACTTTTTAAACACGGGTGAATAAGTGCCCATGGAATTGAGGACAAGGGACATTTTCCACTCGTTTCCATCTGATACCTTCAGATCCCAGATCATCTGGCCTTGCTGGAAAATCACAATAATATAAAATCACAGTAATGACCAACAATAATTTAACCAGAGGGATGGTTGCAGCACCTTTATGTTACCAGTCTCAAATGCCTACACCCAAAATAAGCCTAACTCCAGCACCAGCTTCCACTTGGATTCAAGACCCCTGTATACAATTTCTTAAATATCCTGTTCTCCAAAGTTTAACTGGTGAAGAAATACAGAATTGTTAGACAGCAATGCCCAGCTGACCAGGAAGTGTCAAGGAGAGTTCCCTTTAGGAGGAGTAAGGAAGATACTTTTTCAGAACAAATGTGGTCAAGAACCAGTTGTCTAAAGGTGCTGTGCAATCTCCACTTTCTGACAATTCAAGGTCTGTAGGTGCCTCCACAAAACTTTTATAGTTAAGGGAGGTCAAGAAGATTCCATTTTGCAATGTAAGCAAGACACCAGACAGCAGGAGGAAAACAGGAAAAAAGCAAACAAGAACCATCTTCCAAAGCATCAAGAGACTAGCCACTATTGCTACAAAGCATAAGCACGGGAGTAAGGATACCTACAGCCAAAGTGAGATAGGTCTCCTCTGTCTCGCTGATGAGAGAATGAGCTACTAACCTACCAACAGTTTTACTTTTCATGTTTTGTCCAACTGACAGCGTTCCTGACTATTTAACACAGTGCAAAAACACCTTCTGATCCTCTGCTGACATAGTCAGGCTGAGCACAGAGCTCAGAGTCCCAGAAGAATAAAGGACCTATTGCCACATTCAAAGTTGAATGCTTCTGTCTACTGTTTCCTACTGGATGATAAGTGCCTTCTTTGTCTGCAAGGACAACGAAACCTTTTAAAGACAGCCTTCCAAACTGTACATAGAAGCCCATATGAGAAGCAAGCATTTAAAAGAATGTGTGGTATTTAAGGCTACCTTAAAAGACGTATTTTCCCATTTACTCCATCTAAGCCATAAAATTTGCACTACAGACTTCCTATTAAATTCACTTACTACATTATTCTGGAGCAACTAAAATTTCATCAGCAGCTATACACCTTCGCCCTCCTTCTCAGCCAGGAATAAAAAGCCATCTCTAAATCCAGTCTTTTCAAGCTATACCAATGTTTGAGTGTGAAAAATACTTTTGTGCAGCAATGCACATATTACCAAATAAAAACTTGCAACAGCACTGTTCTACACATTCAAAAACATTCAAAACATTCTCCCTAGTTTCTGTTGCAACTGAAATCCTTTTATGAGCTCTCCTCTTCATTCAAACACCACACAGAAAAAATAGCAAGATATTCCTACTTTTTCTTAACTGTTCTCTAACTTTAGCCAGGAACTCATGCCATTCTCATGCCATTTTTGAGACTGCTTTTGTTCCAAATGAGTTCATCAAACCCATCTCTATAACCATATCATTTACTCTCTAAGTCAATGATAAGCTCCCATTCACTTTAGTTGTGTATAGTTTGAATCCAGACAAATGGCCACAGACGTATTACTTGCTTTTTAAACTTTACTTATGAAACTCGCAGTAATTGCTAACAAACTCTTACTAACCCCACTGAATTCCTTATATCCAATTTACTTTTGGTTTCATCTCACTTTCAGAACAACTTTAACTGGAAGAGAGGGCAGGACACATGTTTTTGCAAATAGGGATACTGGCAGCTTGCAAAATGTTCTTAAAAATTTCCCTTATACTCAGATTTTTTTTATTTTATTTATTTTTCAATCTTTGAGATGGTAGCCTTTTGACATATGTGCCTTCTCAATAATAGTATTTTTACCAGATGATATTGCTTGCCTTGCTTACTTTAAAATGAACTTAATTTCTTTTTTTTAAACTAGAAAGCCTAAGAAACACATCAAATTAGCCATCAAGTTTGCTTGTTTCTGTGAACACTTATTAGAATTGTTTTCTCTGAAACTGCTGAAGAAAACCCCTCAGGCTACAACGGGCTGACAGATTCACTGCCTCTTTTACTTCAAAAAACCCCAATATTCTACAACAATTAGTGCCTCCATCCAGAAATTGTAAAACATCATTTTTAATTTTTACTTACTGGTGATAGACAAAGTTAAAAATATTTAATTCAACTGCACTTTCAGGTTCAGTAAGTAACTTTGGGAAACGCTGCTTACCTTTAAAAAAAAAAAAACCTGTGTTTTCTAAAAAAACATCACACAAAGATAACTAAGACATTTTCCTTTGGAAAGATCTTAGAAAATAAATTCTACCAACTTTAAAACAACACGAGAAACTACACATAAAGAAACTCTAAGATGTATTTTGGTAACAATAATGAAACCAATTTTTTCCAATATCAAAAATTGGAAATTCATGCTGAGAAATC